GTGAATCTCTCGAGCCACAATTAGTAAGAATAAGCACACTGAAGAGAAGCTGAATGTTTTGTTTTGTTTTTTTTTCCGCATCAGTCTTTAATGGAGAGAGCATTAGGGAGATACCTGCTTGCAGACCAGCTTTTTTCAGGTAAATATTTGATGCTGGGTTTTGAAAATATGAGGTTCTGGGGAAAAAAAGGCAATAGTAAATAGAAACATGGTATTAAGACTCTCTACAGCTGCTTGCAAATGTTGAAAATAAAACAAAAAACAGTGATCTGTTCTAAACTCCACGCACCCCCATTCCAGGAGCCCAGGACATGTCCAGGAGAGGCATTGCATTAGTTGGACCCAGCTCGCCCAATGTCTGTATAGATCAGGTGCTTTAGTGGGGCCTTTTGGGTGTTTTTATCTAATAGCTGATTGAATCTGCAGAGCCGGGTCAAAGTAACGCACTGCTGCTTCAGGTAAAGCATGGGTTTTTTTGTTCATTTTTTTTTAACATCTGCAAGCAGCCTATATTCTTAGAAAAAGTTAAAAATGAAATGTGGAATTTATAATGGCCATTGTAGTGGGTGGCTGCAGTTGTACTTGCAATTAAGAAGAGACGTGTGAACTTGGAAATAGAGCCCAGTGAGCCAGTTCTAAAGCAAATGATTGAAATGAGGATGACAGAATAATATAAAATAATGGCGGTAATAGGAACAAACTGTCCATCTGTCATGGAAAATTAGAATTTTTAAGGGTGAGTAAAAACTGATAGAGATTATTTTACCTCTCACCCTATGACTCTGTATGGTTACTTTAGTACTATTTGTGAAACACTTTATGAAGTGTTTTTTAAAAAATCAGAAATAATGTGAAACATTAGAAGCAATCTAAGAGACAGAGAAAAAATACTCAGGATAAATGGAATGTTTTCAGCTTCAGCAAAACATTAACAGGGGGCTCTGTAGGGGTCTAGGCTGGGACCCATACTGTTTGGTATTTCTTAACGGTGTGAAAAAGGGGATAAAAATGGCGAGAGAAAAATTGTAGATAATAGAAAACTATTTAACTCAGTCAAAACTGTAGTGGACTATGAAGAGCTTCAGAGTGACTTTAAAAAGCTAGGAGAGTAGAAAGGAAATGCATTCTGTAAGGAGTAATTTGAACTATTCATGTACCTTTAGGTATTATAAAATAGCTCATACCACTGAGGAAAAACACTTACTATCACTGTGAACAGTTTAATGAAAAGTGTCTGGCTAATGTACTGTGCTAGTCAGAATAACAAACAAAATACTACTTTGTAAAAAGAATGAAATAGAAAATGTGTTTGAAAATTTGTAATACCATTATGTATATCTCTGTGTTCATCTATTGGTCACTGGATCTGGAAAAAAAATAGATACAGCCTAACAATCAGAGGCATACAATACTTCTGTGGAAAAAAAGAACCAAAATGGTTAGCATTAATTAATTAAGAGAAGATATAAGAGGGAACATGAGGAATACAGGTTAACAGATATGGGCAGATCTAGGATTTAGTAAAGAGGGATGTGGCACACTGTCCCTCAGACCTTGATGGGGGCAAGGTGTGCTGGGAACCTCCAGACCAGCAGGCAACATTGGAAGATAGGGTAAGGAGCAGGTACATGAAGGGAGGGGATGGGACCCCTGCTCATTCCTCTCCTCTCTCTTTTCCCACATCCTCTGCTGTAGGGAGCAGGTGTTGGAAGGAAGAACCCACCCTCTGCTTTTGCTGTGTCTGGCTGAGCCCAGCACCCTGTGCAGCTGCTCCCTGCAGCCCTCAGCTGGAGCAGGGCAGGATTGGCTCTTGGGCTGCTTCTGTACCTGTGTCACTAGACAGCAGTGGTGGCAGGCGGGTTCCTCCTCCCAGCTCCTGTTCCTGGTGAGAGGGGGACATGGTGGGGGAGCAGCAATGTATAGCAGTGTGACTACTGCTGTCACCATCCCCTGCTAAGCCTGGCACCCCATGAAGCATCAACCTATAGCTGGAGTGGGCCAGGAGAGAGTCTGGGACCTCCCCCATGCTTGGCTCAGCAAGGGACAATGGCAGTGATGGCAGGCTTGTGCTGACCCCCTAGCACCTTGTGTCCCATTCTGGCTTAGTAGCTCCAGCTACAAGGAGAGGTTGCATAGAGCTCCAGATTTAGATGAAGAGAATGGGGATAGAAGGGGGGGAAGTACAACTGCATTGCTGCACCCCTCTGAATCTGCTTCATATAAAGGAAGACACTACAAATATAAAGTATATGTTCCCATTTACTATTTATTATAACATAAGAATCAGGGGACAACAGAAACAGCCAATTTTAAAATAGGAATACTTGTGATGCAATTTAAAAAGAAATATCTGTGACATAAATAATAATTATTGGCATAGGATATAATTTAAACTGGGACATAGGAGTGTATTTAAAAAAAAAGAATCAGATGATTATTTGAATAACTGAGACTATCAGCAATTACAGTTAAAATGTATAAAGGATGTAAATCCATATATTTCAAATGGCTTAAAAGAAACATCCTCTGTGAGCATCTAGCAAAGATTCTTGCACTGTTAGCCTCCCCAGGTAAACTATGACACTTTTTCAATATAGCAATTCCTATGTTCATGTAAATTTATCTTAGTTTGTTTTTTCCTAATGGAAAACCAGGAGCAGATCACTATATCTTCAAATCACTTAATTGATTATTTAATAGAAATAAAAACAGAAACAAGACACTGAATGTGGCCAAAGCAAATTCATCAACCAAATGCATATTTATGAGGAAAAAATGCATTTTTCTTAGCACTGTAAATTTGTTTAAGTGAAGTGTAGCGCTCCTTTTCTGCTCTGCTACTAGTTGGTCATATTTTTGTTACTATTATTATTACTGTAGTGCCAAGTTTCCAATAAAGATCAGGCCCTATTTGTATTGGGTGTTGGTCATACCACTTATTATATGAAACTGTTGTAGCCCTTAAGAAGGTAAACTAATTTCTAAAACAATGATTATTCAGAAGGTGTAAAGTGAAGTAGCTCCCTGAGTCTAGTGGAGCTATGCTGATTCAGAGCGGCTCAGAATATGACCATTACATTTAAAATTCCTTTATAACTCTTTTTTTAACAAGCTTGTATTTCTTCTGGGTCATGGAAATGAATGTTAAGTCTTTCTTTTATACTTTCATTCCTACAATGCTTTTGAGATCAATATATATGATCAAATAGACAGCCATAAGGGAGACAAGTACAGTATGGTCACTAGCAATGCTAGGTAGCAGTAACATACACTAAGGCTTTGTTTACCCGACACTTTAAAGGGTGCGAACCAAGTTCCTGGGGTAGTGCCCTAACCAGTAGGTCATCAGCTAGACAGGACTCCACCTCCTCTATACCATCTGTTGAAACTAGGTCACCAAGCAGCCTAGATTTAAGGAGCAGAAGAGGGCAAGTCAGATGGAGCCTACTTCTGTGGTCCAGTTAGCTGGGTATTATACCTGGAGGGAGTCTTTGATTCTAGGTCCTGCTCCTAATGCTGTTTCTCCAGGTTACCCAATGCAAAATACATCACTTATACTAAAGTAAATCTGGATACTGCCACTGAAAAAGAATGTCTTTTCCTAGATTATTCTATGGCGGGGTGTTTAAAATCACCGTGTGTCCTGAGCTGGATCCAGACCATGATGCTCCTCATGAGCCAGACACAGCTCAAGGCCCAGGGCCAAGCATAAGGGGGATGGGGTGGGATTCAGCATGGCATACCAGGCAACAGCAGCAGGGCCAGCAGTGGTAGGGCAAGTGGCTATGTTTCAAGTGGCCATTTGTCACATCAGGGGCACTGCAATTTTGGTGACGAGCCAAGTGGCTACAGGGTATGAGGCACTGTATCAACACAACCCTCACTCACCCTCCTGCTGCAGAGGGCCATGTCCACCAGAGCAAGAGGGCCACATATTCTGCAACAGGACACACCCTTTCCCCCTCATCACCCCCTGGGCCATGTCATCAACTTCCCTAGGCTCCAGTAGCCCATGGGCCTCATCATGTTTGATATTCCTGCTCTGTGGTAATGGGGAAGGATCTGGCCTGAGGATATTGCAGCATTGCAAGTGAAGGGACTCTGGCACAAGATGCACAGGTTAACCTGGAAATAAAATTTTCACCCGTAATAAGCATTTGCACTCCACACTTTTTTGTAAAATGGATTTGTGATGATAGTTGTCATCTGAGAGGTGTGATTTTCGGACAGGTTTGACAGTGGAGTGAATGGGCTGCTGTCTTATAGACAGGGTGAGCTAGTAACAAAGGTATAAAGAATTCAGAATACTGTACACTTATCTTATTTTTCTAGAAGAAAACAAATTCCATCCTTGATACTAACAGTTTCCAAAGCTTCATTTTTCTCTTTCCAAACATACATTCACAGTACTTCAAAATAAGAATTTTGGGTAATGTCTTCTAGCAGACATACCCTGTATAAAAAAGTACTGTATTTAGGCTTTCTAAATACTACTTTAGTGGCACATTATAGCTCTACTGGGTGCATCTACATGAGACGTTTACTGTGAAGTTGCCAACACAAGTACTGTCTTATAGCAGCATTATTTAGTGTGCTGCAAATCATGTAGACAATGACTGGGACTGGATGAGGCATGAGGGTGCTTCATTGTGGGGGCTGCTTGCCATCAAGCCCCTCCACAGCACATTGAGCTGGGTCAGAGCAACCCCAGGCTGGTAGGCTGACCTCCAGAGTCCCCTGCCAGCCAGGACTATTCTGTCTCAGTTCGATATGCTGTAGTCCTGGGCACATGCTTAAATCTTGCACCTGGGAACAATAAAATCTGGTGCAAAATGCACCAGAGTTTATTCAGTTACATTTATTTCACATGTAGATCACCCACTAAGAGCTAGTTTCAAACTGCTACAGCCCCCAGCCATGCAGAATTTGGAGAGCCCTGGCCTAAGTTGTCCTGGCCAACTGTCTGTCTAACCTGATCCTAAACACTTCCAAGGGTGGAGAATCCACAATCCCTTTAACTCGGCAATTGAGCTTGCCACACAATGCTAGCTAGCACTGTTAGGTGTGCAAACATGATTTGTAAGATAAACCTAGAGATTTCAAATAGTAATCCATATAGATAAAACATTCTGACCTGTT